CTAACTATTCTGTGATTCTACGATTCTACGACGCCATTTCTGCATAGATGAAAACCACTCTATTTTAATTCCCAACTTAGCTGATGCATTAAAAAGAATTTGGTAACATCTTTCAAGATATCATACTGAAGACAAATTAATATTTTTTTTTAATATGCCAAGTTAAGGAGGTAATTTTTATTCATTAGTAGCTGCTGTATTGACAGCAAAGGCAGCCACTACTGCTGTTACCAGCCAACAGTTGACGGCATTTTCACAAAAAAAAACCCAAAACCAAAAAACAACCAACCAAACAAAAAGAATAAAATACCCAAAAACTAAACCCGAACCTTCCTTTTGCTTAATTGTTCACTTTCAAATAAAGGGCAGCAGCATTACATGAATTAGATATTTATTCTATGTTAAATATGAACAGATGGAGTGTATTTTAGACTTCTCGTTGGTGGCAGCAGTATTTGAAAACTCCCCAGTTTATTTAAAAAGAAATCTATCAAACGTACCAGGTGTGATTAATGTATCATATTTAGGTATTTTGCTTTTTGCTCCTTGTTCATCTTCACTTTCCACTAAAACAAAAGTAAGAAATAATTGACATTTTAATTTGAAACAATGCTATCATTATATTTGCTAAAAATGTGCCCAGTACAAACACAGGTTTGTCTACATTCAAATTATACTAATTGTTGGAAATCAATCTGTCCTGGAAAATATATAGAGGATTCAGTAAGTAATTCATGCTGCCAGCCACTACAGAATTCTACCCTGGGACACTGATAGCCTATACAGGGGAAGCATGCACATGCATACACAATTTTAAAATGTGTCCAATTTTAAAACTGCTGTCCTGACCCTGGCCTCTCCTCCTTGCAAAGTACATCATTCTGACACAGAAATGGAGACAAGGCACAGAACAGCGAGTACAAATATTTTACAGGAGTATGGTTAAAATGGTTTCTGGCACTGAGTGTCTGCTGTTCTGAATACTCAGTAAAACTACCTGAAGAGAATCACTGAGCGTGGTAATTTACAGCCCAGCGTATTAAACTGAATAAGACTGGTTTTTGTTTTCCTTCAAATCGCATGATATAATTTACACATGGAGATAATTCTTGGTCCTAACACATGGACAGCGGTTGCTCACAATTAGAAACATATGTCACAGAGCTCCTCTGAAGTTGTTATCTACTGTAGCTGATCTAATACAGCCACTCTAACCTGGCTCAGAAAACATATATTGGTGCACCATCTGGATCCCCTCATTAAGTAGCTCTTTAAATATTATGAAGAAATTCTGCCTCAGAGCTTGCTTGAGGAAAATGGACCAACGCAGAACAAGAAAGTATCCTCACATCTGTGCATTTACTTAGCATTTTGCCAGGAAAGAAAGTCTGAAAACTATCTTGTGCTTAATTTAAATAAAGTACTTTATAATCCTTTTTACATTTTAAGCATCATATGAAAAGTTCTGTTTTGTGTCCTGTGCTGTAGTCATTGCAGTGCTGATGCACTTCAACTAATATGGCACTGAGAACAATAATGATGACAGTATTAGCAACAGTAAAAAAAAAAAGTAGCAATAAAACCAAAAGCAGCAGCACTTACAATTAAAAAGGTCATTTGCCTGTTCACAGGTCTCCGGGAACCCATCTAAAACATATCCCTGATTCCTACAAGGCATAGATTTGAGCTTGTCCTTCATAAATTTAAGGATATACTCATCATCTAGTTGACCTGAGACACAAAGACTGTTTTTAGGTACTTAGTTTATAGCAAAAAGATATCTGAAATTATTTTACTAACATTTTAATTCACTTATTGGAGAAACTTCTATTTAGACCCTAAAAAAAATGTAATTTGAGTTACTGTTTGTACATTACATATTGTCAGCAATCTATGGAATATAGAAGTGTAGCTACAAAATAAAATTACATTCATGTTTACAAGGTTATAAATATTAGAACTTTTAGGATAATGAAAATGTAAATAGTGGTTTTGTTTTTGTTGTGGTGGTTTTTCTTGTTTGTTTATTTGTTTTTAAAATAATGCCATCAGATTTTAATGGAAGCAGCAAAGAAATATTTATAGGAAAAAAACCCATGAGACAAGAGCAATAATGTTCTGTTTACAATTAACAGTAAGACTTAAAGATAGTTCTGTAAAACAAACATGAAATAGGTTTTAAAAGTTTCATTTTCAGATGAATAGATTGAGATATGAAGTGGTTTATTAACTTGTCCTACATTGTTGCACAAATATGTGGGAGTAAAAAGTTTGGTTTGACCTGACTTTTTCTCCTTTTGCAACCATTGACTCCAGTTTTCTACTTCATTTTGCTTTGGCTTTTAAAAGCCTTAAATATTTATAAACCCTTGTAATCATACCAGTATGTTACTGTTTTAAAAGACATTATTTTTTTAAATAACAAATCAAGACATGCAGAAGAGATGCTGCCACAGATCTCATTACGGAAGCTTCTGAGTGCGTTACAAATTCATTGCTTTGGAGCTACACAAGATCCAAATGAGGTAAACCTTCAGTGATAGAATGTTTTTAAGGTGGATCACTTTATACTGCATGGAAAATGTTAAGCACTCAGTCAAAAACTACATGATTTTATTCACATATAGATGATAATTAGTACTTTCCAGTAATGGTAATTTTTGTAGACCTTTTTCAATCTGCAGGCTTTAAAATTGTTTACAGGATTCACTAAAACACTATTTACACTTAAGAGGTGGCCAAAATGGGTATAAGGTATTCAAACCCCACCACAATCTTGTATGACAGTGCACTGATTATTTTTCTTACTAGAGTACTTTTCTTCTTTGCAAATTTGATAAAGATATTATTCACCAATTTTTGTATAAATCATGTTCCCTATTCCAAGAAGAAAATGTTATTAAAATCCAGCCAAGAATTTAATGCTTCTGAGTATACCATTGTTACTTATACATCAAATTACAGGCTAAAAAGAATTATATAAAATGTATAAAAAAGGAGAAAGATGGAAGTTCTACAATTAAAAAAACACCACTGCATTTTAAAAATACACCACTCAATACACAATTTACATAGTGTAATTATAATGTATTAGATTTTTAAATAGAGTACAGTTACATACAAATGGTCAGGGCATGATTCTTGCTTTTAATAGGAAGTAAAAGTTCTAAAGCAAAAACTTATTTCCTGGTTTTCCATTGGATAGGGTTGCACTAGTTACCTAAATCCCATCTTAGTGCTTTGAGCCTCCTACCTGTATTCTGCTCCATGTTTTCTCTTACTGCATCTAATAACTCTTGTGCCTCTTCTATGTTTTCGCCCTGCTCCTCTTCCTCACCATCATTTCCCTCTCCCTCTTCTCCCACATTGTCAGTGTCTAGTTCTTTAGGAGCCACAATTTCCTCCTGACAACAAGAACAGAAATATGAATAGGCTTAGAAATTTCATACCCAAATTTCTTTTATACGAAGATGAAATAAAAGGAAAAATAAAAATTAAACAATTCATTTTATGTATGCTTCTGGACAGTGAGATACTGAGCAACCTTCAGTCTCTAAAAAGAGTTCAATGCACCCCCCAGAGGTGATCAGTATGTCAGAAGATACTTCCATTCTAAAATAATGGAATTAAACCTAATTTTTAAATTATGCCATACAATTTTAAATCACAGAAATTAAAATAATAGTAATATTAGAAAACAGCAACATACCAGATTCGCTATTGCTTCAGAAATCACATCTTTTGATTTAATGTGATGTAGCTTGTAGTGTTTGCAGAGTTCTTCAGCAATGGTAGATTTGCCAACCCCAGGAGGACCATGAATGAAAATTCTGAGAGACTGGAAAAAAAGGATAAAGATATAACATCATTCAAACAATATGGATGTTTTTATGTAAAAGAACAACGTTTTTACTAAAACTAATGGGAAATAGCAATTATAATTAAAAACTGAAAATATATTTTAGTTTTATTCATTTGTATATTTCTCACTGAGTATCTCCTGTATCATCCACAGGCTTTGAGGAACACAATTAATTTAAATGTACAATGTTACCATTGGAGAAAAAGCATGCTTCTTATTTAGTAGAGTCACAGAGCAGTTTGTGGTGGCATTATTAGTGTTCGTATGATCAAAACAGATGAAACACAACCCCATAGATAGGACACAGTAAATTTTGGAATAAGGTGGCAGACAGTCGACTATACACATGTAATAGTTCTGTTTCCTAGCTGAGGTAGAGTTGCTGTGATCACAATGGTTATTTTGACCTCAGAAATTTCAGATCCACTCGGTATGTCTATATTTTGTGCTGATTCTTTTTTTAATTCGATGCATTTGTAGTCAGATGGAGTAGTTTAACCCAGCCACTGATCTGATAATCCTTCCAGAGGTACACAAGCACTTTTAATGAACAACATTGAACAATTCTAGTTCTGTTTTGGTTTACACATGCTGAACTTCTGTTCAAAGTCTGAACAAGATTTATACATGCTGAACAGCTTGATCATACCAATAAATATGTGCAGGTATGCCAGCCTTTTTCTGCACCTTTCAATAACCTTCCCTATATGTTTCAATACAGAAATTCTAAATGTTAAGCTAATATAGGAAACAGCAAAGTTGCTCAGAACATTACACAATGGAGCAGGGTAAAATGCATTGCAGTTGAATTATCCTGGCTGACTAAATATAATGAAGGACACAAAATACTCACCTGACTACTGACTATTATAAAAAAGTTTAAATAACAGATACACTTATTGCTCTTGGAGAAAAATGTACCAGGGGTGCCATATATTGTATGCAGAAACTAGTTTCACACCAGAAGCTTCTCTATCAGGAAGCTTATTTGCATTTACAGGGTTTCAGTTTTAGGCATAAAAGAAAGAAAACTTAAGGATTATTGTTTTAATTAATATTACCTCTTTTTTAACTACTTCTATTTTCAGTTTTTATGTTCACTACTGTACATCAGTCTTTCATGTATTTTTACTTAAAGAAATTAAAGCTTGTGTTTATATAACCATTTCTATTGAGAAAAGGAAACAAAGGTCCACTTTGAAATAGCATACACCAAACAATTACCAGTAATCCTCGACTTTGCTTGTATTCCTTGACAATTTGCTCAATGTTCTCCACCAGTCCCTCCTGAGCAACCCACTTAATGTTGAAAGACTCTTTCACAAGCCCAGATTCCATTCGCAAGTTGACAAGCAACATATCCAAATGCATTTGCTGAGGGAGCAAAGCTACATTTATTTACAGACTTAAGCTATGCCTGTTAAAAAGAACACTGTTAGCTTAAACTAAAGACTACAATGGAAAGAATTAAAGCATAGGGAAAAAAGTTGTGTGCACAAAGCAAAACAGACATTTTAAGCTTTTTAAAAATATGAACATTTTCCATATATATTTGTATTTAAGTATTCTTATGAACTATTAGAACATGAAACATTAAACAATCATTCTGTACAATTCAAAGGTTTCATATAATGGCAGGGAATAACCTCTTTCATAAATTTACCAAGTACCATCTTCAAACTACCCAGGTTGTAATTTGTTTATTTCTCTTATGAACAGTTTATTCCAGATAACTAGATGAATGCAATATAATTTATCTATGCTGTGTTCATCAATCTTAGTGGCACCTCATTATTAACTCATTTTTTTTGTTATTTTTATAATTTTGTGTAGGTTTTGTTAGAATGCTCCAGTATGCCCAGTGCTTTTCTAAATCAGCGTATAAGTCCTCAAAATAATCTCTTCTATGATGGTTAAAATATGAGTCAAACTCACTGTATATATTTTTATGCATTTTTTTGAGTTTAGTTTTTCTGGTGAAATAAAAAAAAATTAAATCTATATTTCATGATATTATACTTATCTTTTCCTTAAGTAATATAAAGAAGGAAAGTACTGACTGTTAAGTCTTTGCTCAGGAATGCATTTTCTGTTGGAATCTTCTCAATTTTTCCTGGTCCAACATTTTTACTGATACACTATCAAGAAAAGAAAAATACAGTTATCAAACCAAATTCGTAAAAAAAGTTGAACAGTATTTCTGTGTATAAAATACAGGCATTAAATTTTATGTTACACTAATACCTGGAAAATCAGTATACTGATTTGAAATAGACAAATTAAAGAACAGTATATTAACTTCAATATAGGTTTAAACAGCTTTGTTTTGATGTATACCACTTCCTCTTTAGTACTTGCAGTTAAATAAAACAAAACTAAACTAAACTAAACTAAACTAAAGAAACGACAAAAAATGCCCCACAACCCAAACCCACAGACCAAAAGATTCCACAAAATTGTAAAAATTGACATAGAGCATAAATCAAATCTACATATATTCCAGCATTCTTTCTCAAGTGATGTCAATCAGTGGACATTAGTGAACAAAAGTGAGAACTATAGAATCATAGAATGGTTAGGGTTTGTTAGGACCTTAAGATCATCTAGTTCCAACCCTCCTGCATGCATGTGTGGGCAGGCATGCCTCACACTAGACCATGTCACCCTAGGCTCTGTCCAACTTGGCCTTGAACACTCCCAGGAATGGAGCATTTACCACTTGTTTGGGAAAAGCATATAGGGTAGTCCTTCCAGGTACTCTTCTATCTTCAACTATTTTCAGCTCAGAGACTTCCTAAACTATAAATAGCTACTGTGTATTTAAGTAACTTTCAAGGCATTTCTCTCTGTGTGCCTTGGCTGGTACAGCTTCCTGCCAAGACAGCTCTCTGCAGCGCTCTCTGCAGTGCTCTCTCTACTGGAAACTTCCGGTCTATACAAGAACTGTCCATTGACTCCTGCCCTCTATTTCCCATTTGTAAACAACCACATATCCATGAAAGCACCCAACCACTTTTCTTAGGGTGCCTAGCTGCTTCTCAACAGCTTTTAGTGAAAGACTTCTTTGAAAGTCTTTGGGAAGTAGACTACCTCAGCTTGTTCACCCTTACCCACATTTGCTATCCACATTAAAGAACTTCAGGAGGTTCCCAAAGTATTTCAAAGTACTTTTTGGAAAGTATTTCTTGGAAAGAATTTTACAAAATTCACACAGACTCCTTCCAAATAGATCATATGGATCTGGGTGTTCTTTTATTTTTATAATTAAAAACAGCTTAAAGACTTTCAGTATCTAATTCCAGCACTATGAATGTCATAACTTTCTTATGTAAAATTTCTCCTTAAGTTAATAATAATACTGCAAGAATTAATTCTGCAAATTCAGGTCCAAATGATGTATTTTGTACAAAGAACAGAAGTCTCAGAGGATTTCAAAATAATTTTTTATGTCATTACACAAGACAATTCAGGAACTTCTACTTTAGTAAAATGTATATTTTTTAAAGCCTTAAAGATATCGGGGGGGGGGGGGGGGGAAGAAGAAGAAGAAAAATCAAGTCTCTTACCTTTACTAATTCTTGCAGGGTGTGCATAGATGAATCTACTGCAAGGATATAACGAGACTTGGGCCTGTGGTCTGCTACATTTTGTAACACTCTGAAACATAGCAAGCACAGTCAAGGCCGGTAGTTGGAGAAGCATACTGGGCTTTTGTTATTGAATGCTTTTCAGAAACGGTACAAAGAGTTTATAAAATCTTGCAAAGCATGTATTTTCCTTAATAAAGAAGCACAGCTAGATATTTTATTTGGAACTTGGAAAGAAGTTTAAAGGATAAAAAGCAACATCTGTAGAAGATACTAACTTAGCCTGTTGTAGAGTCCATGATCTGTTTCCAGTTCTGTGCCAGTTAACTGGTATCACACTCTGGATGGACTATTGCTAGTCATTTCTTAAAAGCTTAGTACCACTGCAACAGTCAGATAAGGTTTCCATAAATTTATGTCTAATACCATGTCTAGTACTAAAGAAACTTAAGTCTCTCAGTCAGAAAGGTCAAAGAATGTTCTTAAACCCACTCACCCCAATTTAAAAGCATTAGTACTCTCTAATAGATCTGTATTTGTCATCTAGCTACGTATCAATTATTGTCCAGGGGATTATTTTATTTTTTTATTTTTTTTTACTTACGCTGCTAAATCAAGAATATGAATGGTTGGAATAAAATTGTTTCCATCTCCAAAAACAGGTATTGCAGGTGTCTCACTAAGCCAACCTATCTGAAAATACAAACAGAGAATGAAGTGTGGAGAAAAAGGTCACTTTTAATTAAAGCTTAAAAAAGGAGCATTTGTTTACTAGGCAAATCTGTATATTCAGTATTTAAAGTTCAATTTCTTGAATTATTAATGGAAGGGAAAGAATTCTTGAGAAATACAGACTGGCAGCCTACTAAAAACAAGAAACTTTTTTTTTTTAATAGAATATAAAATATTCTTTACTCTTATTCAAATATTCTTCAATCTTGACAAATTTTATTTTGCATCCCAAATAAAAAAAATACTTGGAAAAAAACATAATATAATGTTGAGAAGAAAGATTTTTTTCCTGATTCCATTAATATGACAGATTTTCACTGTGAAGTACATATGGAGATACTATTCAAAAACTATAGAAAAAATGAAAAGACTATAATATAGACCAAAAAAAGTGGAAAACACTTCCACTGCAGCTAAAACATTTCAAATGGATTGAATCATCAGTTTTGTTTACAGAAGTATTAAGCTTATGATACCAAAGCTACTAAAAATGCATTAACCCAGTGTGGTTTTCCCCTAGAAATTAAATGAACCTTCAAAAATAGCTGGATGTCTACCTTAAAAAAGTAGTGCAAGACTCCTTCCCCAGCTCCATATTGATGTCCTGAGGCAACAATGTAAGTTGAAAATTTACGTTTGTTCTGTGAAGTAAAATCAACAAGAAAGTTTTAATAAAAATATGGTGCTGCAAATGGGATACTGGCTTACCCTGAAACTTGAGTACTTGTGTAATGAAAATACAGAGTGCGTAAATTATATCACTTAAAATTTGTGGTTCAGTCAACTGTTGCATATCCTGTAGTTTTGTAAGTCATATTGCTAAGGTTTCCTTCAAAAACCGAGCATTGCCCAATCAGAATTGATCTACTTTTAAACTGAAATTCTAAAATAAAACTGAATTGAAAAAATTGGAAGTTAAGTAAATCAATGAAGTGAACAGGATAACTCAGGCTTCTGCTTTCTGTTTCAAAGAAAAATAATTCTGAAATTCACTGAAGCTATTTACTAATTGCATTATATTGGCCTTTGACTGCCTAAAGAAGTGGGAAATGCTGGAATGGATTTTGCAATTGTTTTACTTTCATTTTCATATGCAATTGCAAAAAATAATCCATGAACTAAGTGTTTTCCTAATCACACACCATCATCAACCCACATATTTTTTGCTGACCATCGCTGCATAAGGTAATAAACTTTCCTGTCCTGCCTGTTTACATATAATGTTACTGCTTGGATCAGTGTTAAGGATGGTTATACAAAGGAAAAAGATTTTTTGAATCATCTTAAGGAGAAAAACTTCGAAGAAAATATTTCAAATTAGGACCACTTTGATATTTTAAAGATGAAACAAAATTATTAAATAATTCTCATGTTGTGAAGATCCTAGACATTGCGTATCTACATAACTGTGTAAAAGAACCTGTGTTTACCAGTAGAGGGAATAAATGCTCAGATTTGAGACCTACTTACTTTTAGTGAAAAAAATGCATCTTTTATTATCCTTTTTATACTGTTTCAGAAACATGAAGCTAAGAACAGTGCTATCCATTCTTTGTGTAAGTAAATCATCGTATAAAGGGAAGACAAGTTAAAACATCAGTATGTTGTATCTGCCTGTGTGTTTTTCTCCCTCTACTCAAAAATAAAACTGTAATAAAAACTACCCTAACTCAGTTGAGTGCAACAGGTTGTTAGTAATCGTAAGAAACATTTAGATTAGAAAACATTACAGATTGCATAAGAGCTCTCACACTTGGTTTGCTTGGGTAGCACCATGACACTCACAGTTTGTGTGCAAAGAGCAGTAGCTCCCAGGATTGCTCTGGGCAGACTGCAAACATGCTCCAGGAGAATTTCCATCTCCCAGCAGGAAAAACCTGCCTCTTGCAAAAGCACAGGGAGTACTCATTCCTCATCTCATCATTAGGAGATTCCTCATCTCCCCTAAGAAGAATGTAACACATAGGATCTTAATCTGTTTATCTTGCAGGAGCTTCTGCAGTAGTCAGTTGTGGAGTAGTTAGTTTGGCACTGAGTGCTACCCTTCACTGAAATGCAAAGCTCTGAAACAGGTTCACTTCCTCTAAAAATATTTATTTAGTGTCACAAGTCACACATATGAGAAGGTACTATTTGACATGACTTGGATATACGGAATTTAAAAAATAAGCCAATTATTAGGCAAGCTCCAGTTACACGCAGCACGTTTAGTCACGAGTTCAAGTTCCTGTGTAATATTCATTAAGGCCACTAGATGTCACATTCTAGCTATTATAATCAGTTCTAGTCTTTGGTTGCTTCCAGTTTGCTTGTTTTATTCTAATAAAATGCTTGAAGAGGGAAGCAGGTCCAAATTAATGGATTCAGGGACTGTGATTCCACTGAGAACAGAACTGGGAGATGAAGAATTCTTCTGTTTGGTAGGAAGATGTTTCTTCAAGGACTCTGAATTTGGCAGGACCCCCGCGTCAGCGAGTTCAGAGAAAAGCTACATAGCCTGAATGCTCTGCTACAAAGGTAAAGAGTTGTTAGTGGTAAAAAGCAGAGACTTCTAGCTCATAATTCTTGCTGAATTTTAAGCAAAATTTGTGGGAGATACTCTAACTCAGAGGGATGGAATCTTGCTTTAAGTAACAACAGCCTTTAAATTGCACTCTGAACAGAAACCAGGGCTAAGAAACTCTTCTATTCTTTGTGCAAGATCTTCTCTACATGGCTAAGAAGGCTGCTGAATCCTGTTGAGCTCTTTGCAGGGACACTGTCATTTGTTTAACTCATGGCACATTCCCCAGACGCCACTGAACTTAAAAATGTATAAGAATCATCATCCAAAAGTCTCCAGCCATCACAGGAAGCTAATGTTGATCTGCTAGGAAGAACAGATGCTTTGGACCCCTCCTGTTCCAAAAGGCTGACAGGAACTAAACAGAGGCAATGATACCCATTGATGCTGCCCCTGGAGTTCTGGAGGAAAAGGGCTCCTTATGAAAGGCCAACAAGAGGTATGTAGTGAAAATATTCAAGTTGCTGTATATTGTTCCAGTGTCTTCTCCACAGACATTTCAGCCTGGCAAACATTCAGAAGCTAATTACTTTAATACCTTTGTTACTAGTGACTCAGTGCTTTGGACTTGTCATAAAAACTGAGTCAGTGGTTCATCTGGGTGTTACTGGTGGCAGAAGATATTAAGAGGTTTGGCAGAGGCTGCTTATAATCTTCATATTTTTAATATTACAAGTATGAAAGTTATTCTGTAGTCTTAAAACTACAGTTAGCACAGTAAAAGTAAAAACTATTTACCACTGACTTTTCAAGCTGTAAACCAAATTTTACTGGCATTCCGTACAGCATTCTGTACCACTAAACCCATGTTAGAATAAAATACAATTTCTAGTGCTATTTCCTCAGCAGAGCATAAGATGACAAGAGTGTAATCAAATCTGGGTAAAGGGTTTTTCCCCCTTCTGTAATTAGCCTGCTAAATTTCTGCAATGGACACTAGCCTGCTAGGCAACAAAGAGAATGACCAAATGACACCTTCATCATACAATGTATTTCATTGTCTTCCAGTTTTCTTTCCTAACCTCCACAATACTCCATTGCAAATGGCAACAGTGGCACTTTTCCTGAGTTGTGAAGTACATTCTGAGCCACTGTTGGTACGTATTTAATAATAGCTCTTAAATACAAACAAAGGAACTGTCTGTTCTCTGCTAAGATTAATACTCTAATCTGGTTGAAACAATGAAGCTAAAGGAAATGATAGGAAACACATGTAAAGTGACAACAAATATTCTAGATACTCTAGGTCAGCTCTATAGCCATGATTTTAAAGTGAATTATAGGATGGAATAAAAGTCAACAAGACCTCTGCTCCAAGAGCACAAACTATCCAGGAACATGCTAGGTGTGGCCAGAACAACTTCCAAGTATTCAAATGAGACATAATATTAACATAGCTTGCTCATATTTAAAGATGCTGCTTTTCTTTAAAGCTATACTAATGTCCCTTCCCTCTGCATTCCTTCATCCTCAAGTCTTTCCCCACACAGGCCTCAGCTTTCTCTCTGATACAACCAATGAAACAATGTATTTTTTTAAAGGAGGTAAGTGTGATTTACTCATTACCTAAGGAATAAAGACAGAATTTGTGATTTGTATTATGCAGACACTTATGTTTCAAATGACATTATAGTCTTCTCTGCACTTGATATTTTATTAATAATTGATGTTATTCATATTGATGATATCCATATCCATATAAGAGAATAACATACTCTTAAATATTCAAATTGTTGATAATTTCCTTTACTAAGCTAATGATCTCTGTAAAAAGATCAATCAACTTATTTTTATAAAAACAATTTTTACATACAGTCTTCCCAAGTTTAAGAATTAATTTTTCAGCATTTATGTGATCTGTAAAGTTAGGATGAGCTTTTCTTCTGCGATAATCTTCATCAGTAAAAGCAATCTCAGGATCTTCCTACAAAGGAAAAAATGAGGCTGCTATACATGTCTTAGAACAATTTTTAAAGGCCTAAATGGTTAAAATAAATCATTCAAAATAGTTTTAAAATCTGTTTTAACTTTGGTTTAAGTTTAAATTCTTAAAATTTCTGATTCGGATACTTGAGGTTCAATATTTTGAAAGCTTCAATAGTTCAATTTTCATAGGAAGATTTTAAACTACTTTTTATATTTTAAGAATTGTGATTTTTAATTATATATATCATTACACAAACTTAAGAAACTATTTCTGTAACAGTGAATTTGAGAACTGCAACAGCATACCACAAAGCACCCCCTGTGGCTCCTGATAATATTTACCATATATAGATATAAAGATGTATCTATGTCTCCATACACTGATTTTAATATGTATTTCATCAAATATGTAGTAAATACAGGATTTTTTTATGACTGAAGGACACAGCATATTGTGGTTAACATAGCTTTAACATCTTGCCCAAGCTGTTCCTAATGCCTGCCTATATCATTATAGCCTAGTGCCTAAACTTCTTTGTCTAACAGAATAAATTTAACAATTTTGGCAGTAAGTTCAGGGCAAAAAGATCATGAGAAAAAGCACATTTGCTGACACTAACTTCATTTGCTATTGTTGAAGTACATACTGAAATAATATGCTTAATGTAATCTAATGAATATTTTCTATTAAATGGAAATATTCGTTTTTTTAAAAAATTAATGTTTTCATATTACTTACAGGGTCAGGGAGTTTGCTTTTTGCCCAGCTCATTATTGTTGAAATGAGGATGAATATTTTTTGTGTTGCAAAATGCTCTATTTCCATATGTAAGGCTGTTAAATGAAAGAAAAGGATTTAATTTATTGCAAACTGTATTACTTGAACTGTATTTTTGCTTTTACATAAAGGTCCTGTATAGACATTTATACCATAATGTTCAATGGGACACATATTTTTAAGCAAATACTCTTTCTTTGGGTTAGTATAAAATAATGATAATCAGGAAAGAAAAAAATAGAAAAATAATGTTAATAAAGAATCAAATTACTGTAAATAAACATAATCTCCAAAGAGCTACATATTGGGTGGGGGTTGAGTGAAGAAACAAACTATTTATGTTTATTGACTACTGAGATACTGAAAGAAAACAAAAGTGTGGGTTACTTCGTTACTGAAATATAAAAACTACAGAATTAAACTTCATTATTTTAATTTAAAGCAAAATAATTAAATGTGGGTTATATAATTTATGATGTTATCTAAGTATTTATGCTAGAAACAGGAAAGCATTGTTTAGTTTAACTATCATATAAAGAACGATATTGTGCTGTCACCATAAAAAGATTTCAGATAACCATTAGAATTTGGATATAACAACCAGAAGAAAGACTCAGAAAGACCATTAGCAGTATTTTTTATTGGACTTCTAAGTAAAAAAATTTTTTAAATAATTACATAAAATATTGAAACATTATTTGAATATCACGGGAGCAAATATTCTACCCACCTCTCAATGTAAATAGATGATGGTTGATAGTTATTTAGGGAAATAACTGCCTACACAGATATGTCACTTAAAATGTTGGAGCATTTCATGACAGCTTATCTACCTTATGAATACTAGAGTGCATTCCACGTTCCTTGCTAACTAATTGAACAATTCCTGTGGCATTTCTTCATCAAGGAACTCAGTTTCATATTGCAGTAAACTATAAATCCCAGACAATTTCATTATATATTTATGGTAAATATTGATGGCTATATAGCAACAAGCTCTCTGTTCAGTTGATAGCTATACTAACCAGAAGCGGCCCATGTTGCTTCCTCTATTTGGTTTGCATCCTCAGTGATATTATACAAAACAATCTCACACTCAAGCAAGTGACTTAAGAGCTCTTCTCGAGAAAAGACCTGGAAAAAAAAATAGTTATAATTTGTCATTAAAAAAAAAGGGGGGGGGGGGAATCCAAAATTCCCTTTCTGTTCAAATTTAACTTACTGGTAGAATGTATTTTTCTAACACTAGGATGTTAGAATAATTCATAAGATGGGTATTAGGTATCAAACTTTACAAACAAAGTGATTAAATGTAAATTAAATGCTGAAACTTCTAATTTACAGTACACATTAATATAGTTCAAGAAGATATACAACTTTTACTGTTATTTCAGGATTCATATTTTCAGTGCAATTGCGAGTACCAAAAAAGAAACTACAACTTTTATAGTCATTTTAAACAAGCTGGCAGAATGGAGAAGACATAAAAAAAAGTCAATTTCCTTGCAAAATTGCATCCTGTCATTTTTGTTGCATTCCTTGCATCACTTGAGGAAGTCCAACAAATACTTTGGGCACGAGCAATAATTAAGATTAAATTCCACCAGCCATAATTTAATGATGGAACAGCTCAGCTGTATAGAGGTTTAAATCAGTATTTTCAAGTCCTTGAAGAGATTCTAGATATTCAATTTGAGATAGAGGCAACTTTAGTTTCAGAAAACTAAATCAAGCAACAAGCAATCACATTCTTAAGAGCAAGTCTCTTGCAGTCAACTAAACTCTGGATGTAACTTTATAAAAAGATCTAAGTATTCAGAACAATTAGCTGCTAGTGAAAGCTGCAATTTCAGTGTCAGAAGGGGGACACTAACTTTGATTCCAGCACTACTAACTTTAAAATGGTGATAAAAGACACAGAGGAGACAAGAGATAATTGAGGCGTGTGTTCTGAGGGAGAAAAGAAAGCAGATCTGTGGATCATGAGGATAGATGATGTCCTGTCCATAACTACCTTTTCTAAAAAATCTATTTTGAGTCTGAGTTCCCTCCTTTTACTATTTGCTGTATCAGACCTATGAGGGAGGAGACAACAGCATGGAGGAAGCAGAAGCAGCAAAATACACGTAAACAGCTTCCAGCAGTAACAAAATACTGGTTTATTAATGCAGGGCATTTTACATGACTTGCAATATTTCTAATACTGTCTAATAGCAATCTGAAGTAAAACACTTACTGAATATGTTTCCTCTGCAAAACTTGGTTTAGTACTCTCTGGTTTAGAAAGGGTACCCACTATTTGGTAGACTCCCTCCTTTGGCCTACTAGAAACTTCAGCAGCTGAATTATCTTCGTCTTCCTCCTCCTCTTCTTCTATGCTTTCAAGTGATGCTCCAACAACACATGTGGATAAATACTGCAATATAAAAGACACACACTTGTATGCAAATATATATTGAACCCTACAGAGCTTCTCATGATCTTAGGAAGGGACCAACTAGCCCTGATCCTGTTGTAGGTAATGTAGCTCAGAAGACAACTTTCCGCTGAACAGGAAAACGTTAGGGACTCCTCAACCCCATATGTGATGACTTGTGTCCTACACCTCGAAGTCAAAGGAGTCCCTAGATGTCTCTTCTCCACAGCCTGTGTCCTCTCAGGCTGGTGTTACCTCAGACATCTGTTCTCTCTCCACAGAGATCAGCTTTTACCTGAGGTCTCCCGACCTGCTTTATCCACATCTCCTGCTCCTAACTCTCACTTTTCTCCTCATTTTAATCCCTTCTTGCCCCCCTTCCGTCTCCTCAGCAGCTGTTTTAGGCGATCCCAGACACCCTGGAGGCCAGCC